TTCACTATCATGCCGTTAGAGTTGCATCAGCCCAGTGTTATTAATAGTGCTGTGCAGAAAGAGAAATCAAAGACTCCCCTCATAAACTATGAATTAATTTCTCAGACCTCCCCCTGGTAGAGTAAACCCACACATACAACATCTCTCTCTCTCTCTCTCTGTCTCCCCCTCACACAGAATGTTAAGAGTGCCTAAATTTAAGAACAGAAATATCTCTCTCCTTCTTGCTCTGTTGTTTGTTAGATTCCCATACATAATTTAACAGTTTTAATAAGTCTCAGTACTGCAGCCTGCTAGTTGAATGTGTGTTGAATAAAGTTGCTTTTTTTCTGAGGACTTTATGGTAATCTTGTAGTGACTTCTGAAGGATTCAAAGCAGTGGAAGGCTTCATCAGAAGAACATATGATTGTATTCCTGCATTCCATTTCTGATTAGTGAGCTTTTTTCATTCATCTTAATAGGGTTTGCACACACTTTTGCACAGTAGTTCAAACATCTCCCTGCTGAAAGAGAGCGAGAGAGAGAAAAGGGGTTATTGTGTCTTTTGATCAGTCGTCATGCAGATGGAGGCTTTTCTGTATGACTCTAGTAAAGGAGAGATCAAGGCTATGCTGTTTTGTTGGTTGGTTTGAATAGAGAGTGACATACTTTCAGTTCCTTAAATTCAATATGCATGTGAGGTGTGTGATGTTTTTTCCCCTCAAGTATATTTTGTTGTTGTAGATTTAATTGGGGCATGTGTATCTTTTATTTTATTTTCGAGGATGAATTTCTTTTTATCATACAATTTTATTGCATTATTTTTTTCCCCTGAGATCCATCTATAATGTTAGTCATGTTTTATTTTGCCTTTTGACTCTTTAAACGGGCAGGTTTTTTGCTTCTGTTCCTTTAAGCCACCTGAAATGAGTAACAGACTAAAGATTTACTGTCACATCCAGTATATTTGGCACTGCCTCATCATGCATTAATTTGTTGTAGGTTCACAAAACAGTTCACACTGAAACGTGTCACTCAGACTGTCAAGGTTGAATTGATGTGATCGGTCATAAAGTTTGATTTATTTTAATCTTTTTTTTAAAACTCTGAAATCTCAAAAGATCACAAAAAACTTGATTTTGCAAGATATAATGACACTTTTGAACACTTTCTGGTATACAGACTGCTCCCTGAACACTCCCTCTATCTGTCATTGGTCGGTCAAACAGATAGCCCCGCCCCAAACTTATATCATTGGTTGAGCCAACTCTGCGATAGCAGTCACAGTGTTTATACTTTTCAGTAAAATAAACCTAAGAATGGCTGAGAAAGTACTTTAACATTGAAAAAAGTATTGTTTTGTAACAGTTTACATTTTTCATATACAGGATTCTACGGTAAAAGCTGTATGGATGCATGTCAGCTGAACCCATGTGAAAATCAAGCAAAGTGTCACAGGAAGCCAAGCTCCTCACATGGATATATCTGTGACTGTGAGGACAATCACTATGGACAGTATTGTCAACACAGGTACACATTCATACACACCACTTGTATGCACAATTACATGAGCACAAATGCACACACACACATCCCTACTGAATCATTACATGCACTGAAAAAAATGTTTTCTTAAATATTGTTTTTGTCCTGCTCAGTAGCAATATTTTAACATACTTGAAAGAAGATAAATTTAGGAAAAAATAGTTTTTTAATAGTTTCTTTCTTTCTTTTTTATTTATTTATTTTCCAAAATTTCCTTTATATTATATTTATATTGCATATTTTGAAATGTAATTTATTTCTGTGATGGCAAAGCTGAATTTTTTTGAAAGCCAGTCTTCAGTGTCACATGATCCATGAGAAATCACTCTAATATGCTGACTTGCTGCTCAAGAAAAATTTGTTATTATTTTCAATGTTAAATCTGTATTTTAACTTGTTTGGTGTGAACTGTGGCAATATAAGAAAAGATGTCTGCAAGCTTAGATACATAAACCCTCTTAGAGGGTTCCTGTAACATAAGACAAGGCAAGCACAAGTCTACTCTATACACTCCATAGGAACACGGCCATACTGTCTCAGTATCAGCAGTCACAGTAAAAGCTGTTCCAACAACCAGCAGCTTCATAAACATGCTGAGTGTTATGCTCCTCAGAGAAAACTTCATGTTCCTGACCTTCTCAGAGGTTCAGGGGAGTAAAAAACGAGTTTCTCAGGAACAGCCTGTGGTGAACCTACAATGCATTTTTTTAAACACGCATTTTACATTTATTAGGCACATTTCCAGCTTTACTTTATTTGCTGTTTTATTTTCAAAGAATATACTATGTAATATATAGTATATAGTGTACACAAATAAAATGGGGAAATGAGTGAGAATAGGAATTGGAAATGTTGCATTACAGATGCAAACCTGAATTGCCTGCCCAAGGCAATCTATAAATTGAAATCATTATTTGGACAACTACAGCTATAAAAATGGCTTTTTTTAGGTTATGAAGTTGCATAAACTCTTCTTAGTAGCAGCGTGTTATTCTGCAGTTTTCCTGTATACAGTATTCACAAACATGCATTTTGCTAGTATGTACAGTTAATACCTTTCCATTTTATTCTTTAAATGGTTATAGTCAAAAACAAACATGTAATTCAAGCATGTTCTTTTGATTTGGTACTATTTTTAGGAGTGAATGACCACATGTTCACATATAAATGTACATACAGTATAGCTGGTCTAGGAGGTGTTAATTGGTTAGTGTGTGTGTGTGTGTGTTTAGGAGTAATTAAAAGATTAGATAAGTGTGTTCCTCACTCTGGGGTGCTATAATAAAGCTTTACTCACTCTCACGCTGTATATCAGGCTTTTCATTGTCCGTATATTACACTCCAATCCCAAAGGAAAACATGAACACACAGACTTTAGAGACATTATCAGACTTTTGAAAATATGAAGGAATTTTGTTTAGTATTTTAGCTATTATGTTATAATCACTATGCTTTGTGATTTTTATCAGTTTGTGTTGTAAATGCATAAGTTATGGATGTTTTTGTGTGTGTCAGGAGTTTCATTACCGACGGCGGGGCAGTGACATCTGCCTGCCATGTGACTGCTACCCAGTGGGCTCCTTCTCAAGGTCATGTGACCCTGAGAGTGGCCAGTGCCAGTGCCGACCCGGCGTGATTGGCAGACAGTGTAACATGTGTGACAATCCATTTGCTGAGGTCACACAACCAGGCTGTGAAGGTAAATACTGTACCCATCCATCCAACCATTAATCCTTTGTTCTCTCCATATTTGTTAATCATTTCTTCACCCGCTTTTCTTAGTAATCTATGATGGTTGTCCGAAGACCATAACGTCAGCAATCTGGTGGCCCAGAACAAAGTTCAACCTGCCTGCTGCTGTCCCCTGTCCCAAAGGATCAGTAGGTGAGTGTGTATATTCACATCTGCGTCTTTCATGTGTCTTTTTTGAAGTCCATCTAATGCGTTAGTTCATCGTTTTCGAAGGAACTGCGATTCGGCACTGTGATGGAGAGAGAGGATGGCTGGACCCTGATCTGTACAACTGCACCTCTCCTCCTTTTGTGGAGCTAAACACAGCCGTGAGAACCTATACCTGCACATTTACTGTCTATTTACTGTAATGAGGCCTGTTTCATACATATTATTTATTTATTATTTTTTGCAGAAACATTTTCTGGCTTACTACATTGAAGATTATTCAATTTATCAAATTATTATTAAAATTCTATATAATTGGCAATAATTATTTTCATGGCTGATAATTTACTTGATAATTACTAAAATTAGCCATTTTTAAATTAATTTAGATACTATAACATTAAAATATGCTGTATGAAAAATATATATACATTTTGATTTAAGATTGCTTTTAACAGTCTTATTAAATTATTAGTGTATTTTAAAAGATTCATTTTAATTGTGTATGACATGTTATTACAGTAAAGCTAATTTAATTGTTAAAAAAACAAACAAAAAAAAAAACGGGGGAAATGGGCATGCACAATTTCTAATATTCAATATTGACCAAACATTTTTAAAAATCATCCAACATCCCTGATATTTTTTAGCTCTTGAAGATCCGCCCTCTTCTCCGGGAGCACCAGCTCATTTGCATTTAAAGGGAAAGGCTCATACTCTAAAAGTGGCAATTTTAACAAGCTATAAAAAATGATCTGTAAGGTATTTTGAGCTAAAACTTCACACACACACACACACACACACACACACACACACACTCTGGGGACATCAGAGACTTATTTTACATCTTGTAAAAAGGGGCATAATAGGTCACCTTTAATAGAGCCCATACATTATGAAGTGCTTCTTATCATATAACTCATGAAATACTTACATTTATATAACTTTCAAAAATCATTATTCTACACAAAACTGAATTAAAACTCAAAAGTGTAGCTACAAAGTGCTTAATTGTCATAAATTAATTGAATACGCATAGCTCATGTCGACACAGGATGTGTGAAACAGGTCTAAGATCCATAACTTTCACACAGTCATGCACACAGGATTGGAGCTGCTTGTCTATATTACATAAAAAAATTTTCATTGTGTGTGTGTGTGTGTAGCTGGAGGCGTTGGAGAGAAATGAGACAGAACTCAACACCATCATTGAGAAAAAACTAGCCCATCAGCTTCGTGATGTCACAGAGGCAACAACCCGTCTCTATGGAAATGACCTTCAGATAGCCGAGCGGCTGCTTTCTCGCCTCCTGACCTTTGAGAGCCTCCAGTCAGGCTTTGGTTTGACAGCCACTCAGGATGCACATTTCAATGAGGTGTGCATTACCTTAGGGAACCGATGAATAGCTGGAGATTTGACATTCCAGTTTTATTGAGACTAGTTGATTAACGTCTTACTTTGTTCTGTCTCTATCTGCAGAATGTGTTGCGAGCCTGTAGTGTTTTGTTGAGTCCAGGCAGTGCTGCGTTGTGGAGGGGTCAAAGTTCAGGTCAGACTGGAGTGGCGGGATTGGCCGATCTGTTTGAGCAATACACCCGCATACTCGCCCAGAACATGAAACAGACCTACCTCAATCCTGTGGCACTTGTCGCCCCAAACATCGGTCAGCATCAATACACAACAAACACATACAAAAGAAGTAATTACTTTTATTCAGCAAGGACTCATTCAGTTGATTTTTACATTATTATTATTATAAAAAAAATTTATTTCAAATAAATGCTGTTCTTTTGAACTTTGTTCATCAAAGAAAGTACAGATCATAATATTAAGTGTTACTTGTGCACCAAATACCACTTTTTTTTAACTGTGATGGGCATAATACTTATTAATATTTATATTACTTATAATATATTACTCATATTTATATTTAATATATTTTTGTTTTTTATAAAATAATGTGTGGCTTATTAAGTTGCTTCAGTCCAGTAAATATTAGTTTTGTATGCGACAAGCATAGCACTTCCACTCTGGAGAAAAAGTAAATATTGGAAATAATCTGTCATGTGCAGTGTGAGGTGAAGTTGAGAAAGATCAATGTGAGACTAACACCTGCAGTGTGCACCTACGGCAGAAAAACTGATCTATTAAAAGAATCCTGTAGTTCACCCAGCATTTATAATAATAAAAAATGTTTCTTGAGCACAAAATCAGCATATTATAGGATATAAGGATATACGAATTGTATGACACTGAAGACAGGAATAATGGCTACAGGAAAAATTCAGCTTTGTCGTCACAGGAATAAATTATATTAAATTAGAAAACAATTATTTTAAATTGTAAAAATATTTCACAATATTACTGTTTCATTGTATTTTTGATCAAATAAATGTAGCTTTGGTGAGCGTATTTGATTTCTTTCAAAAACATAATTATTATTTTTTTTTTTTTACAGATTTTGAATGGTGAACTTATTGTAAGGATTAACTGGTAAATGCTCTGAATGTGTGTGTTCAGTGTATCAGCAGGAGGCTGCTGGACTGTGAGGGACTGTAGTGTGGTGTATAGGAACACGTCACATGTTCGCTGTCAGTGCCACAGACTGGGAACCTTTGGAGTCCTTATGGACAGCTCACAGAGAGAGGTAATGTACACACACACACACACAGACAGAACAAAGAATGATAAAGGCCACATAATTTGAAAAGCTATTCTTTACAAAAATCTTCACATTTATTAGGTTTTTCAAAAACATAATACTACATAACAACAGGATGTTCCATAGTGACATCTCCTTCAGCACAAGCACTGTTGCTGATATCTTTTCCCTTCTCTCTCTCTCTCTCTCTCTCTGATTGCTAAGCAGCAGTTAGAGGGTGACCTGGAGACCCTCGCCATAGTAACATACTCCTCGCTCTCAGTTTCCATGGCGGCGTTGTTGCTAACAGTGGTGGTTTTATCGTGCCTGAGGGGACTGAAATCAAACACACGCAGCATTCATTCCAACATGGCTGCCGCTACTCTACTCTCTCACCTCACATACCTGCTGGGCATCAACCAGACGGAACAGCAGGTCAGAGAAGAGAGATGTCTGTGTGTGTCTGAATCTAAATGTGGGTTAGTGAGATAGACAAAGAAAGTTTGGGTGGGCATGAAGACAAAAACATTTCAACAAACAAACAAACACAATCTGTGTAGTCTCCTTTTGGCTTAATAATGTACATTGTTATTTGTAGATTGGAATTCAAAATATAATACATACATACATACATACATACATAAATCTGCTTTAAATTGATCATAAATAGCATGAAAAGACATTTATAATTTTCATTATAAATTATATATAATTTTTAGGATTTCTATGTTCTAAAGCAGCGGTTCTTAATACTGTTCCTCACGTCGCCCTGCATATCTCTCTCTCTCTCTCTCTCTCTGATTGCTAAGCAGCAGTTAGAGGGTGACCTGGAGACCCTCGCCATAGTAACATACTCCTCGCTCTCAGTTTCCATGGCGGCGTTGTTGCTAACAGTGGTGGTTTTATCGTGCCTGAGGGGACTGAAATCAAACACACGCAGCATTCATTCCAACATGGCTGCCGCTACTCTACTCTCTCACCTCACATACCTGCTGGGCATCAACCAGACGGAACAGCAGGTCAGAGAAGAGAGATGTCTGTGTGTGTCTGAATCTAAATGTGGGTTAGTGAGATAGACAAAGAAAGTTTGGGTGGGCATGAAGACAAAAACATTTCAACAAACAAACAAACACAATCTGTGTAGTCTCCTTTGGGCTTAATAATGTACATTGTTATTTGTAGATTGGAATTCAAAATATAATACATACATACATACATACATAAATCTGCTTTAAATTGATCATAAATAGCATGAAAAGACATTTATAATTTTCATTATAAATTATATATAATTTTTAGGATTTCTATTTCAAATAAATGCGATTCTTTTGAACTTTCTATTTATTAAGAATCCTGAAAGAAAATGTATCATGGCTTCCAAAAAAATATTAAGCCGCACAACTGTTAATAATCAACACTGATCATAATCAGCATAATAGAATGATTTCCAAAGGATCATGTGACACTGAAGACAGGAGTAATGGCTGCTGAATATTCAGCTTTGCCATCACAGGTATACATTACATTTTAAATCATATTAAAATAGAAACAGTTATTTTACATTGTAATAATATTTCACAATATTATGTTGATAAAATACAATGTTGATAAAATACAATGTTGATTTAAACAATATAAATCAAAAGTCACAAATCTGTAACAAATATATAAAATATATAATACATTGTATACTTAAATATATAATAATATTATAATAATATTAAATGTAAAAAGTAAACATTACACACACACACACATATATATATATATATATATATTAAAAAACTTCATCATAATTTTTCTTTGTTTTAAAATGTCAGGATGCTATAGCTTTGGATCCTTTTGGTCAGGATCCTTTATAGCTTTTTATTTTCTGTTTTGAATTTTAAAAAAGTCTCAGATTTTCAATGTGGCCTCAGACGTTTGGCGACCACTTCATATTTTAAATATTTTATAAAGGCAAGTCTAACAGCAAGTATTAAAGATCATGAATAGTTCAGTAGAAAGTGAGCTGATTGTCAGGATAAAGCACTAGCTTGAATATGATTTGTCATTCAGAAACTGACATTTCAGCCATTAGTACAATATGGTACAAAAACCACTTATACCACACAGTGAGCTGGGAACCAGACATTATTAAACACTTTTCTTGATACTGACGCTCTCTCTGTATCTCTCTCGTCCTCAGTCAGACCCTCACACATTTGTTCTCTTTCTAACGCAGGTTAACACCATTTTTAACAGACATTATTCTCAGGAGTGCAAACCACTCACACTAAAAGCATATTACTGCTGAGTACATTCATTTCAACAGCTGTACTGGGATGTGAGTGTGTATGTGATAGAGTATGTGTTCATTCATAATTCATCTTCTCTCTCAAACATTGACTTTGCTTGCGTGTATTGATTTTAGAGCTTAGATTCTCTTTTTTGGACATGTACTGCAGAGAGCATTCAGGAAATTATGGGAATGAGATCAGGAAATGGTTTGAGCTGGATCTGAACTCACAGCACTTGACAGAGCACCACATCTTAATAAGTCAGAACACAGTTGCAAACCAATAGGCCACAGTGTATCCCACTTTTATTAGGCCAAGGACACAATAGAAAGAAAGAGCAGGGTCCTCTGTTACATACTGTATCAAACTGAATGTTGCATTTTAACATTAAAGTCTGTCCTTTAATAACATGTGTTTAGTATCATATGTATTTACATACTTAGCCACATTGCTTACGTTAAAATAATCTTTTTGAGAGTCATAATTATACATTACATTTTAACTTTAATATAGGAAGGATTTAGCTGACCTTCAGCTTTTAAATTTTAGCTTTGGTTGATATAACATTATTTTAAGGTAGGATAAATATATTATTTAAAACTATTGTTTTGTTTTTTTATACATATCCATGCAATATGCTGTTTTTGTCTTTTCTATTGTCTAATTGGTTCATTCTGTCCGATTCTCTCTGATTGGTACAGTTCCTGTGCACAGTGGTTGCAATTCTGCTGCATTACTTCTTTATGTCGTCATTTGCGTGGCTCTTTGTGGAAGCTCTTCATATTTACCGTATGCAAACAGAAGCAAGAAACATCAACTATGGAGCCATGAGATTCTACTATGCTATTGGCTGGGGAGTCCCTGCTATCATTACAGGTGTGTACACACATACACACACACACATATATATGTGTGCTTTCACGCAGATATGCTCTGTGACATGTATGTGTGCTGCAGGGCTGGCGGTCGGGTTGGATCCAGAGGGGTATGGCAACGCAGATTTCTGCTGGATCTCCATGTATGATAAGCTCATGTGGAGCTTTGCGGGACCAGTTAGCGTCGTCCTACTGGTATTGTGCTCTTCAGTGTGTTTATGTGTTGTTTGCACCATTCAAAGAATTTTTATATGTCTTTGTAATTCTCTTTCTGTGTTTTGGATGTGTTTAGTACTGTAATGATCATCTACATTGGCAACTCTCTCTCTGTTTTACAGATAAATGGTGGGATGTTTTTGATGGTTCTGCGTATGACATGTAACCCCACTCAGAAGGATATAAAGAAGCTGCCTGTGATGTGAGTACAACATGCATGTTTTCAGGAACATTCAATATGGAAAATGGGAGGGGGAACTTATAAACCTTATCATCATGAATATTATTTAGGTGACCTCCAAAAAAATGTTAATTCTATCATCATTTCCTCACCTTCAAATTGTTCCAAACCTGTATGAATTATTTTCTTATGCTAAAAACAAAAGAAGATATTTTAAAACCAAAACCAAAGTGAGCATTTTTTCTTTACACCCCAACCAAAAAATATTATTTTATATTATGTTACTATAATATTTTAATTATACTAGTATAATACAATCATATTATATTATATTATATTATATTATATTATATTATATTTACTGTTATATATTTTCCAACAATTGTAAAAGCTATATTGGTTATAATGCTGCTTCTTCCCTGCATGTTTTTCTAGATGCAATTCATGAGTGTCAAATTTTCAGCACATAATTTATGACTTTTCATCTCTTTATTCTAAATTCATTCCTTTTATTCGATTTTTCCCTCTCTATCTCTCAGTTCTACTATCCGCAGTGCCTTCCTCCTGTTATTATTGAGTACATGTGTTTGGTTGTTTGGTCTTATGGCTGTTAATAACAGTGTCCTGGCGTTCCACTACCTGTTCATTGTCCTCTGTTGCGTACAGGTAAGTGTGTGCTGGCTCTTACACATCTCTTTCTTTTGTGTGTGTTTGTGTGCTTGAGTTTGTCATTGTCATTTTTGCATTTTTTACACTGTACACTTTGATAGTTGTGTTCTATATCATCTAGTATAATGTTATTCTCCTACTCATCTGTCTCAGGGATTGGCTGTACTGTTAGTTTTTACTCTCCTGAACTCTGAGGTGCAAGAGGCCTGGAAACTGGCCTGTCTGGGCAAGAAAAGTCCCAGTGAAGAACCTCCCAGACCTCCACAGATTACTGTTAGTGAACACAAACATACATATTAACATATGACCCCCACTACATGCACAGCCACATACACATCTTTAACACAAACCCATATTTGACTTCATGGAGTGAAAATAAGCATGTGGAATTGTAACCTGCTGTATGTGTACAGGGCCAAAACCCATACAACAGCGCCTCCCTGCTGGAGCAGAGCGGATTACACCGAATCACACTCGGAACTTCAACTGTCTCATCAGTCAGCAGTGCAAGGTGTGTCAACACATCAACATCACCTTGAGATTGAAAATTCTTTAAACAATTTATACCTCGATGTAAACACATTTTAAAATAAAGAAGGGTCATGAAATAAAAGTTACACTTATTGGTTACATTTTAAGGTTTAATGAACTAACAATGTTTTTTACTATACTGTGTTATTACTATGTTAATATGTGTAAAAAATATGTTCATTGTTAATTCATGTAATTTCAAATAATGTAAAGTTTTGTAGATGTAAACTATTCACTCAAATTCTTATGCGGATAATATACTGTTCAATGTCAACTGTAGATTGTATATCACTTTCTTATTTACATTTTTTACATTGTACATAATTTGTATGCTGAACGGTGAAAACAGATGTAAACATTTTTGTAGGCATTTTGGTTGACTACCTACTGTATGTATCTGTATGTAGCAAACTGAAATCTAGCCTGTATTTTTTCTCAGGGAGAATCTCTTGGCACGGCAGACTCTAGAGCACACTCTTGGTCACACAGGGGCCACTGACCTGGACGTGGCAATGTTTCACCGCAACGGAGGTACACTAACACACAATAACCTGCATGCATGTACGTATTCACACTTACACACACTCCTTAGCTGATCGCTAGTCATTCTTTACTTGTAATATTCTAGTGTTTATGACTTTGTCTTGTCAGTATTTGTGTCATTTAGTTTATCTATTCTTCTGACTGTCTGCCAGGTGAGGACTCAGACTCAGATTCTGATCTCTCACTGGAAGAGGAGCGGAGTTTGTCCATCCCATCATCAGAGAGCGAGGACAACGTGCGCCTGCGTGGACGCATCCAGCGACACTTCAAACGGACTGGTCACGGCGAACGTTTACTCACAGAGCCCACCCACAATGGTGGAAAAGGTACCAATATTATTGTTGCAGTTGTCTATGTCATTGGTATTGAAGCCAAAGGAGTGCAGAAAATTTAGTATATAAACCCAACTGTTAGTGTATGGAACTGTTTATGTGTCAGATCTGGATGGCAATGACCTGCTCTCCTATTGGCCAGCGCTGGAAGGCTGCGAGGCGCACTCACTGCAGAAATGGGGCTCAGAGCGCCGACTAGGGGGCGACTACAGCAAGGATGCAGCTAATAACAACCAACCAGACGCAGCGCTGACCAGCGGAGATGAGAACGGACTCACACACAATCACCGCAAGGGTGAGGCACACTTTAATTCAAAATGTTACCCAATATTGACCAAAAACGATACATTGTAATATTTAATTGTCCATACTTATTCCTTCTCTTTTCACATTTAGATGACATCTGCCGCCACTTAAACTTTAAAAACATTAAAAACAAATGAAGTAACATGGGGTATTATAGTAAAACTACAACTAAAACCATTTAAAAAAATAATTACTTAAAATAAACATTAACTGAAATAAAATAAAATATAAAAAATTTTTGTTTGTTTTTTTCATCTAAGTTCCAAGGCAAAATTTATTTTCATTTAGTTTAACTTGATGTAATAAAATAACTAAAACTGCAATAAATAATAACAAAACTATGTTGACATATTTAAAATAACAAATAAAAGTGGCAAACACACTAATGAATTACTTAAACTAAAAAAAATTAAATTAAAATTACAGAAAATAAAAAAATAAAAAACTAATTCAAAATATTAATTAAAACTATAACAGCATCTCAGTGATACTACAATAACACTGACCGATATTAAACATTTTTTATTCACTGGCTTATTTTTTTCTTAAGATGAACTTTCCATCATCTGACACTTACATTATAATGTTGTGATGTCTAAATTCACAGCAACTGATTTTAGCTTTTAGTGTTTTATAGTATTTTTAATTTATGTAGAAATAAAATAATTGTATTTTTATTTGTTTTAAAAAAATATATATTTTAGAAATAAAATAGCAATAAAATTGTATAACTTATATAAATTATATCAGTTATATCCGTTACATGAAAATAGTTATCGGCTTATTGCGATTAGCCAGAATTTTGATATCTGTGCATAGAAAGCCATACTAAACCCCTCTTCATCAATTTCTCAGGAATCCTGAAGAATCGTCTTGGATGCCCTCCTGCTGTGCAGGGCCTGTCTGCCGTGGGTCGCGCTCCCAGCGAGATGTCCTGGTACAGGACCTCCACATTGGGTCACCGAGGTGTCCCAGCTGCTTCCTACGGTCGTATGTACTCCGGAACTGGCTCACTGTCCCAACCTGCTTCCCAATACTCTTCCCGCGAACACCTGGATTCACTTGTGCGACGTCAGCGTTCCCGTGACAACCTCGACCTGTTGCCGAGAAGACGCGAGCTTGGTGCCGAACCCCTGGGTGGGTCCAGAGAGAGGCTGGGCCCTGTTCACAGTAACCATGCCTCCAGGGAGGATCTGGTGGGCAGGGGTGGTATGGTGGGTTTAATGGGGGCAGAAGGTTCGTTAAGTGGTTCAAGAACTCAGCTTAACACTCTAACAAGGCAACAGGCCTCTCGGGAGCACCTCGGAGGGGCTTTTATGAGCAGTCGGTCCCGGGAGCAGTTGGAATCTAACGGTGGAGCACAGCCCTGCAGGGAGTGGCTGAGAACCCTGCCGCCCCGACAGCTCTCACACCCTGAGCCACACCCACCCTCCTCACCCCCTCCACCAATCACAGAGGAACCCCAGGAAACCCTGCCCTCTCGCCGTGGTCGCCTAGACTCCGCCCCCCCATGTAGGTACCCTCCATCTACAGCTGCACCCGGAGCTCCATCCAGTCGCCCACCCTCTAGTGAACACCTGGATATCCTCTCCTCCATACTCACCTCCTTCAGCTCCTCTGTCTTAACCCCGCCCCCTAACCCTGTCTCTGCCTCGGCAGGCCCCTCCCCTTCCCCACCTCCTCTCTCTGCGACCTCTCAGAGCGTCTCTGAAGTATCACCTGACTCTGAGTAAGTCCAGCCCATGTTTTGTCACCTTTTGTCACCTTTTGTATTCCTCATTTGTTTCATGTTCATCCTTGGTTCTGTTCAGTTACAAAATGTCAAAGCTGCTCTTTTCCATACAGAAAAATGCATGGTGATCAGTTGCAAATTTTGTGTGGTTTACAACCGCTACAATAAAAAAATACTTTTTAGCTTTTTAATTTTAATTGTTTTATTTTCAAGTGATGAAACATGAAAATTGCTAATAAAAATAAAAACATACGAAACAATATAAATATATAAATTATAAAATATAATATATAATGTGTGGGTATAACATTATTAAAATAATTAAGAGTTTTTAGTCAAATAATCCTAATAAATAATAATATAAATAATAAAAAAAAAATTTTTGTTGATATTTTAATTTTTTGTTTAACATGAAACAAAAAGTTTTTTTTTATTGTTTGTTTTTTATATTATTTTTCAGTGATCAAGATTTCCATAAAATATAAAGATGTTATAAACAATACATAATATATAATAAATGAAAATAAATCTGTATACATATATATCTCACCTAGAGTACTAAGTGAGCCCCTTCAAAAAAAATGATGCACAGGATGACATTATTGACATTTTTCCTGTTCTGTCTTTTTCTTTTTTCTCCTTTTAGAGTTAACAGAAGTGATGGACAATCTTGATGATTCCTTCACAGTCCCATAATGCACCTCTGCAGATGGGCTCAAGAATCACAGGACAGAGCCAACCGGAGCAATCAGGACTCCTACTTGACCCTGGGAAGTGCGTTGGACGTGAGCGTGAAGTTGTTCATCGAGGGCTGGAGATGTCACCCTCCTGAGAACAGACAGGAAATCAGACCAGAGAAAGTGATGATTTCTATGATTTTCATTTATCCAAACTACAAACCTAAGATTTCAGACCAACAGCTGAGAAGACTGGTCAGAGACACACACAGAGAGAGAGAGAGAGAGAAAAAACTGTACAGAACATTTTTATACTTTTTGTATCTTTTTCATCAGAGATCAAAGAAGAAAAATCTCTAGTGATGTTTTTGAAGATTGTGTGGATATGTGTTTAAGTGGGTAGGATAAAAAAAAAAACATTTTCAAACATATTCCGAGCCAAAACAGTCCCAAACATTCCAACATGTGTTTATGCAACAAGCCACGCCCACTGATAGACCGGAGAGAGTCTATGAAGAAAAGGATTGGTCCGCGTAAATGCAGAAGTTATTGGCCCAAACATAGGATTGGTGGGAAACTCCAGAGACAGTGATTGTAATTGTAAAGAATTATGAAACAGAAGATATGTTTGGACCGTAATGATTGTCAATCAATGGATTGTTTTCAGACAGGTGACTTGATTGGAAGATTTTAGGTTGGTCTAAACACATTTCAACAAACTCCAACAAACTCATGCTTGTATATGAAATGCCTGTCCGGTTTCGGGAATATTTTTGGCCGAACTGCTCTGAAATAATATTGAAGCATGTGTTGAAGTTTGTTGCAGCTGTGTGAAGAGACCTATTATTCATTTGTGTAACTAGCCTACAAGCATATTCAAGACTTTGTAGCATAATTAAGACCTCTTTCATATCCAGGCTTATCATAATTCAAACATTGCTTTAGGAAGTGTTACTCAAAGATCCCAAATCAACTATTCAGGAGAAAATATTTAATCCACCTTTGATTTCTTTTCTAACAAAGAGAGCATATCTAAATATCAGTCATTATTGTCTCTGTGGAGTATGACATCATCTTAGTGCTTCAGAGGAAGATACATTGAAAAATGAGCTAAATTCAGCAATTAAGGTAAGCTCATCTCAAAATATCAAGGGAAATCATGCTTCATCATATGACTTTATCTCTTTAGTCATTTACAGTATTATCATGAATTTTGCCAAAAAGAGTGCCCTGTGTCACCCCTTTTATACCTCTTACCTGTCATAAAGTGCTTCAGTACTTTTTCTATTCATGGTTTTATATTTTATTTATTACTGCAACTTTATCTTGTACAGACATTAAATTAATTTATTTTCTTTATTAATATTTATTGAAATTAATTTCTCTACCATAATCGTTGCTGGAATGTTTCTGAAGAAGAGCGTATGGGAGTTTTTTTTTTCTTTTCTAAGAGTGAGATTTCATCTGTTTCAAATGTTTCATGTGTGAAACTTTTGTACATGTACTGTCTGATATGTCCCCCTTCGCTTCTGTTCAAAATGCATTCTGGGAAAAGAAATGTCCTCTGTCCATCAGAGAGAGAGAGAGAGTGGTGGAAGACAATGATTGGGTGGGAGAGAGAAAAGGGGAAGGTATAATGGCTCAACATGTTTATTGTGGGACATGTTGTATCCCTTTTACTTATGGGGGTTTCAAGAAAACAAAATCTGCTACCAATGAGAGATGAAAGTGAGACCCGTTGGGCGTCAATAAAAGAGTTATTGCTACCACGCTTCTGTATGTTTTTTATTCAAGACAAACACTTCTGTGGTTAAAAAAATTTAACTTGTTCATCACATTACACGTCTTTCTAAATTTCAGTCAAATCAAATGTAATTACATCTAATTGGAAATATTAAATCTGCTTTTACAGTGGAAGGTTCTCACTAGTTTAATTCAGTCTAACATTCAGTTTCACTGGTTTACACACTCAATTTCCAGTCAACTGCTGTAACATTCCTTAAAAAGACAGTTCATCTAAAAATGAAAGCATCATCATTTACTCACCCTCATGTTGTTCCAAACCTCTACGACTTTATTTCTTGCAACATAGAACATATAGGTTTGGAACATCATGAGGGTAAGAAAAGAATTTCCATTTTATACCTTTAAGATTTTTTATATTTTGAAAAAGAACAGAGGGCTCTGTTCCCAAACACTAAGACAAGTAAATGAACAACACTGAACTTAGCTAAATTCAACCACTCCATGAGTAGGAAGTCAATTTAAGAGAAGCACTTATTTACCTGAAAAAACCTGCATAGTATAAATGAGCTACAGTGAACTGAATCCAAAGGTTGGTCCTGAAGACACTGTCCTAAAACACTGTCAGATGAGTTGAATCCAAGGATAGATTATGGACTGGCAATGACCCCTGAAATGTTTTCCATACATGGTGTGCTCTTTCTAATTAATTAATCTACAGTCATTTGTAATGTAATGTTTGATGCTATTTACATTGTAATGTAAATGGCATCAAATGGGGGCCTTGGAGAACCTTAATCAATCCTTGATTTGACCCACACACATTAAATTAAAATGCTATACAGTAACATTAGAAATCTCATTTCAGTTCATTTCCTCTTCTCATCAAGCACAAGTATCAGGACTAAATCTCTCCTCACTGCTCGATTCTGGCCTGACTGTGTGAGGGTTTTGGGCTGTTCACACAGAACTCGTTTTTGTATTACACTGCTCTGCTTTTCCATTGTAAACATGCACTAGATGGACCTGTTCGATCATTGCACTCCAATTTCCCATTTGGAAAACTTCCATAACATAAGATTTTCGGTTGTTTTGGTTATATGATATCACTCAAACATGAGACCCAGAGAGACTTACACAGTGCATGATAAACATTCACTCTTTTGAGCAAATTAAATTCATAAACAGGTCAACGTAATTACATTTACATTATAATAAGTATTACAGGCTTGTAAAAAATGGTAAATGAGCTTTTATGTTGACAATTTTGCTCATGTAAAATGCTGTTTTTCCTCTGCAAATTGGATACTAGAAGGCAACTTTGTTGACAATTGCAACGCTAACGTTAGCATTACCATTTGATTCTTTAGGTGTCCCATACTCGGAATTTGTGCTCTGCATTTAACCCATCCATTTTCTGCGGCACCTGGGGAGCAGTTGGGGGTGCCTTGCACAAGGGTCACACATCAGTTGTGATATTGTGTAGAAGAGAGCGCTGTACATTCACTCCCCCCACCTACAATCCCTGCCGGTACTGAGACTCAAACCCACGACCTTTGGGTTACAAGTCTGATTCTCTAACCATTAGGCTACAACTGCCCCTTTATGTATTTATATGTCACAATCCAAGTCTGTCGGACAGTGGAGCGCCTTTAAAGGGACAGTTCACCCAAAAAATGAAAATGTTGTTGTCATTTACTTCTCCTTATGTCGCTCCAAACATGTATGACTTGCTTTCTTCTGCAGAACCCAAAAGAAGATATTTTGAGAAATATTTCAACTGTTTTCCATACAATGAAAGTCAATGGGGTTAAAAACAACACTGGACCCATTTACTCCTATTGCATGGACAAAATAAACACTGAGGCATTTTTCAAAATATCTTCTTTTGTGTTCCTCAGAAGAAAGTAAGTCACACAGTTTGGAGCAATATGAAGGTTAGTAAATTATGAATTTTCATTTTCAGATGAACTATCCCTTTAACTATCCCACTTTTGATTGAATGGAACGCATCATCAGTGTCGAGAGAGAGTATGAAAGGAAATGAGATTTTTATCGGCTATTGGAACAAAGCCTGCTTGAGTGAATTCCCCCCTCCATATGATACACATGGTAAATTCCTAAACACCAGTTAAGTTTAGTTCACAATAAAAAATATATTGTTTTATAAATAAACAGCATTGCTAGAATAAAAAATGACTTTCAAAAAGAAAGCAAACAAAGCAACATCTGAGTTTACGTCTGTAGATGTTCGTTATCCTCGCTGTCATTACTGGAAGGTGGATGATCTGTGCCGATCTTCCGTCGTTTGGCTTGATAATATCTCTTCTTGGCCCGTGCTGCCTTCTCTTTCTGTCTCACTGCTTTCCTCTTCTCCACCCACACACACTGCTGCAGCAGTAACAGACTCATCGTCTGCTGATGCTCCAGCTCAAACAGTTCTTGTCGACGTGCCTCCCATTTTGAGTTTGAGGTATAAGAGTCCATTGGCGGTAATGAATTCTCAACTGCTCCTCCGGCAGGAGCATGTGGCACTGCAGGCTCTCTGTGTGGGGTATCAAAGTTTGCACCCCTAGTCCCTGATCCCAGCCCTGAGGTGCTTCCTGCATGGGTTGGGTAGATGAGGGACGGACGGCTGGACCTGGAAGAGACTGAATGTGAGTGGAGAGGAGAGGAGGCAGTGCCAGGAGGAATCCCAGAGTTAACAGGTAGGTGAGTTGGTGAGACCAATCCAAGTTCAATAGCCAAATTCTCCTTGCTGTCTACTTCCTGTAAAAAAAGGAAGTTTAATAGCATCGTAACTGCTGTACATTTATGTAATAAGGCTCAAAAAGGCATGTTATATTGAGAATATGCATGCATTGTACATGCAGTAAACACATGAAATGTGCATTGCAACACCAGTGAAAATGTATGTGTCTAGTGTGTGGAATACTGAATATTATATAATTACCAGCTTTATAATTAACAGCAAAATTAATTGTTTGTTTTATGCATGGGAGCTATAATACAAGATTTTCTTAATGTTTTTAAAAGATGTCTCTTATGTTCACCAAGGCTGCATTTATTTGATTAAAAGTACAGTAAAAAAAAACAGTACAATTGTGAAATATTATTACAATGTCATTTATTCCTGTGATGCAAAGTTGAATTTTCAGCAGCCATTATTTCAGCCTTCAGTGTCACATGATCCTTCAGAAATCATTTAAATAAACATTTCTTATTATTATCAATGATAGAAACAGTTGTGCTGCTTAATATTTTTTTCAGGATTCTTTGAGGAATTAATAAATATATAAATATTACATTTTCACCAGCATTGCAAATTAACCACATTTCCTGTGTTTATTACATGTAAATTGTTAACCTAGTAACAATTCACATTACAACGTAAAGGTGTGAGCAAGTACACTTTCCATGCCATAAGAGAGTTAATTATATTTTTAAAATAAAATCTGCAATACAAAAGAAAACGTTTAGCTTAAGAGGTACTTTCGCAATCCTTTCAAGGCTGATTTCAGTCTTACATCATTTTGACTGTGGTCAGCATCTTCATGCTCACTCCCATTAGTGCCTGAAAGCCCCATCACTACAAAAGAGAGAATGACTCAATTAATCTCCTTCCTCGTATAATTACAGAGCTGACAGCTGGGAAGAGTGGTAGTATTTCATCCTGTAATAGAGATGACATGACTATTAATTACCTGCTCCAGGTGAGCCACCCCTAACTGAGCTATAGCTGCCATCTCCGTCTACCTCCTCCAGACAGGAGATCAGGTTTGGTACCAGGGCAATCACTTCTCTCTGCACCTGACAAGAACCACACACAACCACATTGTGTTACTAGAATTTTCCAAAGCATATAACTGAATTATAGAAGCATTAGAAAGACTTCAATTTACCTGCGTGAGGGCAGACACAGGAAGCCCAGCTGCCTGCTGTTCCTGTCGCTTCTGCAGCGCTACACGGCATTCCACCTTCAGGCGTTTCCACAGCGTCTTTAGAGACCCGATGCTGCTGGGGGGTCGACTAGGGAACGCCGCATTGAAGGCCTGAGCCAGCTCGGCCCATACAGCGTTCCGGTGCACAGTAGTGTTGGTGTCTTTCCGAAAGTCCTGGACTGTGTCCACCACCGCATGGATTCTCCGAAGCAGGAAGAGCTTCTGCTCCAGAGTGAAGTTTGGCATGCGGTACGTCATGGTGGTCAGCATGAGTGTATATATATATATATTTATTTATTTATTCATTTATATTTAAATATGCTATAATGTGTATTTACATTATTATAACATTCGTTTACAAGTCTTGGCTGAAAACTTTTTGCACTTTTTTTTGCATTTGGTAAATTATATTTATTAAAACCAACTGTTTCGTATGTTGATACTTCTGTCAAAATACAAAGTATTATTTGTAACAATTCTGCTATTTAATATTAAAGTAATTTAACCAAAATCTTCGTTTCTCTCCAAATGTTTTCAATATCAACTCACTCATCGGTTCTCGACTAATTCAGTTCGTTTCGAGAACGAATCGTTCGGTCCGGTTTTGTGAACTAGACTAGTTCAACCGGCTCATTGCAGCGGTCAGACTCGAATCGCATCGCTATTAAATGCAAGAATGAACAAAGAAGAAACAAGCCTTCAAATCACCGATTCGCCAAATAATTCAGATGCAGGTGGAACAGGCTGCATTCTATTATTATTACTATTATTATGGATCCGCTGGTCTCGTTAGCCACAGCGCTAAACCCGAGCATCGCACTACAGTAGTGAACCTGAGCTGCGAATTATGACTACAGCTTGAACTCACTGTTCTTAATGAATCTCTCATGCATTTACACAACACCCGATGCTGCTGGGGGGTCGACTAGGGAACGCCGCATTGAAGGCCTGAGCCAGCTCGGCCCATACAGCGTTCCGGTGCACAGTAGTGTTGGTGTCTTTCCGAAAGTCCTGGACTGTGTCCACCACCGCATGGATTCTCCGAAGCAGGAAGAGCTTCTGCTCCAGAGTGAAGTTTGGCATGCGGTACGTCATGGTGGTCAGCATGAGTGTATTTGTGTGTGACTGAGTAAGAAGGCTTTATACTGAGGTTCTATGTGTTACTTAATTTATAGAAAATCTACAAAGTATCGCATTATTGTTATTTTCAACAGAACAGTCTAGTTTGAAAACATGGTCGAGTTTTACATGGTAATATTTGCAGTATCACAGTGTCAGTTTTTGAGTTTTACACTCCAGCATTACAGGAAGATGAGGTTGGTTTGGTGCCGTCATGTGCAGTATACTTCCAGAGTTTCAGATGCAGTGATATGTTAAACTCTGGATGCAGGTAAACCGCTTCATCGTCAGTGTTCAACGGAAATGCATCTGGGGTCCACCTAATGCGCAAGGGGTCACCTGGCACACATGTGGAGTCTGTAGTTCAGCAGACAGAAAGCAAAATGAAGGGAATAATTGCTGTTTTAGATTTTCTCTTGGAAGAATTAATGAGACATTTGATCTTCGGGGGAAAAGCCTCATGTGCTCCATAAATTGAGTTCTGAGAATCGGTTCTTTTGAATAGTTCGTTAAAAAAAACCCGTGATAAAAACAGTTCAGCAATTACTCTACATCGTCGTCATTAAAACGTAGGTATTGCTGTTATTTATTTATTTTGCTATTACGAATGCGAGTTGTTGATAAAGGCGTTATATTATTTATATTGACCCTACTTACATGCAATCATCAGTCTGACGATTTTATCCCGAAAATATTACACTTTCTCCCCACCCCCTGGGCTTAAGTGCTCCGTAAGAAATTTAAACAACAGTCTGGGGACACGCAAAATGACGCTCCGGGCGTAAGAAAGGCAGTTCACTGGTTTGTGCATTTTATATGATTTGTATGCCATTCTCATGAGATCCGCTCAATACATATGGTTTGTGCATCAGGCAAAATGCACAAATCTACGCGTTTTAACAGTACAAAGCGCAGGACTCGTTTCATCCAATTGATCGCGAGCGTGGTGCGGTCTGTGCAGTATTGAGCAGCGCGATTGGACGCCGAGCGATGTCAACGAGGAAGCGAGAACACACATGCAGCACAAAACATGCTGGAACTGCTATGAAAGAAAATACATCACTTTTCCATTTCACCTCCTCCTCAAAATAAAGACACGATCTCTACAGGGGACGCGTAAGTCTTGATACTTGATAGGTAAACTTGATAGGGTTGTTGTTACGATGAGAAACATGCTGCTAGAAATGTCATTTTATGGTAGCTGTGTCCTGTTGACAGATGACTTACTTACGTTCATTCTTTTAATAAATGGGTAGATTCTGGGTAGAAAAAAAACACACTTTATAGAAGTCCTTTGGAACATATTAGCTGGTCATTTCAATAGTAAGTTATTTAGAGCAGGTAATGATTGGGGCATTTTGTAATTGTCTCAGAACAGTTATAAACCAACTGTCATGTTCCAAAACACAACAACCAGTTTAATAAAGCAATAAGCCCCAAGAAGCCGTGGTTTACAGTGAATTTATAACAGCTAAGGGGCTGCTCGCTTCGCGTTGTGCCTAACAACGCCCCTTAGCTGTTATAAAAACCACGGCTTCACGGGGCTTATTGCTTTTATAAAACGGTTATTCCATATACGTAGTAAGGTTTCACAGAATAAAACAGAGCAAATAAAAAGTGTAATGATATAAATAAAAACAGTATTCTTTCACCAAACAATGTAGTTCCTCAGAAACAGTTGTGGTTCCAACAAAGTGGTTGCCGAGCAACACAGGAGTAAACAACGCGGCTCAACCAATCAGAATCAAGGACCGGAACTATCCGTTTTATAATATGAATTTTCCAACAGGGTCTTGAGCTAAATTATACAAACAATGGTGTTTGTTTACATGACATCCCCTTAATAATCCAGATCAGGGATTTTTTTGTCAACCGAACCGCTTTGACCTTAAGTATTTATTTGTAGTACACCTGAGATTTTTAAAGTTATTTAACCATACATTCACATGTTCATGGTTCTCTGATGTTAGGTAAGTCAAATGGCATGCAGGTAAACATAATAACATTTAATCTTTTTTTAGTCAAGGTTTTGTTATGATTGTTTATATTCAGAAAAAATATATATATAAATCCCCAACACAACATCACAAAACATTTTAATACAATATTTCATTAAAAAATTTAATTATATTTTTCTAATATGTTTTTTAATCAAATACAATACTAATGTGATTCAAGTTTCAGACGTGTGTGGGATTTGTATATATTTTTTCTAAAATATTTTTTTCTAGTTTATAATGTATTTCCATCCCACAGAAATATGGATGATTCAGGATTGCATGGCATTAGATATATTTATTTATTAGAATGTTTTTTAAATTATTCATTTTAATTGTATATTTTAATGTTTAATTAATTAATAGCTCAGAAATTGTTCCTTTGTGAGCCCCAGCATCAACCATTATGAGGATATTTAAAAGTGTAAAAGCATATATAAGTAATAATAATCATATATATGTACACACAACACACACACACACACACACACACACATATATATATATATATATATATATATTATTCAACATAAAAAAATGTGAATTAACATTAACATTGAGTGATAATATTTCAAAGTGATTTCCATATAGATAGATAACAAATATTGTATTTACCTTCTTTAGAAACCTTCTAGTAAACTCTGTTAATAGAGATTAGAAGTATAATGAGAACACAATTACATTTTAAAGCATCCGTGTGAAAAACAAACCTGGAAAGAGTCGTGAAGATTTGGGGATAAAAATTTTATATTCTTAGTGCATTCCAGTGAATTATTCATGGGATATATTGTAAAATAAATTGGGAGAGCAGACCACAAATGCACAGTATATGTTGTCTTTTTTCATATTGTTACAGCAGAATGGAAAGGAAAAAAGAAAATAATCAGGAGGAGAAGAATGCAGTGGACTGAAAAGAGCTCTGTAGAGCTATAGATATTGTTATTTTACCATGTCACATTAAAATACCAAGCTTTATTTTGTTCTCCTGCTGTTTGAAAATAGAACATGGAAGAAAATATTCAGCTCATTCAGTCAAACTGACGGATAAGAATTATTTGTTGCACATCTGTATGATTCGTTTCAGTCTTTTTGAGTGGAACTTCTCCGCAGTAGGTTTGTTAGGAAAAAGGTGAATAGTAAATGCCATTGCAAACAATATGCATTGAATTCAGTTTCATTTACTTGATAATAGTGAATAATGCTGTGATGTTTTTGTTGTGCTCCAGAAGTCTTCAGCCTGCCGTTCAGACCGCTTGAGATGGCATCTCCTGTAGAGTCTGCTGTGATGAAGAGCACTGTGCTTGTTGCTCCAGTGACTGCGCTGGAATTCCTTGGGGAGGACTTACTGCTGACAGGTGACTGACATTCATTCTTTTAATGAACAGGTAGCAAAACATCAAGCTAAAAATCAATTTTGGAATAAAGTATGCAGGCTATGACTCATGGGCCAATTTTGAGGTGGTTTTTCTGCTGGAAGAGTTCAATAGGCTAAGTTCTGTATCCTAGCAAAGAGGGGTTGTGTTATCTTCTTCTGCTGAATTTCCTTGTGTTTGGGAAATGCACAAATGTCTCTCAATATCCATAATTGTATTTGTGTATTTATCTCTATGAACATATTTATATTCATAACATATTAATTTGATAAATTCTTTCCTGTTAATTGTGTCAATTTGTAGGTGAGGGACCAATCCTCTCTGTGTACAGTCTTCAGGCATCTCCTAAAGAATGTACATCTTTAAATGTTCTCCATAATTACCGTATCCATGGTATACGACCTAGTAGAAAATGTCAGTTTGGAGAGAGACAGTTCAACAATGTAATCTCATGTGAAAGTTCTGTTTTGGACAACGACAAGGAGGACATCATTGTTTTTGGAGGAAAAGGAGTTCGGCTTGTCAGCTTCAATACTGGAAGACGATGCCTAAAGCTCATTGGTCCTCTCTTGGAGCTTCAAGACTGGGTGCTGGACATTCATTGGCTGAAAGGACAACCCCACCCACTGTTAGGCATATCCTTGGCTCACAATGCTGTGCTGCTCCTAGATGCAGAAACTGGTAATGTTCTCTCCTTCTACTCCTGCGTAGAGTCCTGTCTTCTCTACTCAGCACTTATGATCGGTCCAAATTGGGACTCTTTAGTGCTGGTAGGTGG